CTCCCAGACTCTCTTTTTTTTCTTTTTTTTTTATTCTGGGATTTATTTACCTGCTATAATTGAAACTTTGTTGCCGCTCCAGCTCCGAGGCCATGGCCTACTGAAAGCAGGTATCTGGGGTTTGTTTAGCTTCTATAATTGCAACTTTGTTGCTTAGAGTGGAGCTCAGAGCAGGGCCATGGCAGGCGGGGAACCTTGGCTTCCTCCATCACTGGAGCAAGCAAGCATCCTGCTCACTTCAGCTGCGTGGCTGCTGGCCGCCATCTTTGTTGGCGGTCAATTTGCATATCTCGCTGACTAGCCAATGGGAAGGGTAGCGAAATTATGGTTAATTACCATGTTTGTCTATTATTAGATCGGATGAGACATGACAAAACTTAGATCATGCTAGTTATAGAAATGACCCAGAGTGGTATTTTTTGTCAGTGAAGACAAAGGCAGCCTTAAGACTGCCTTCCATCTACCTGCCCTTCCCTTTGGGAGAAAATTCAGCCTTAACTCAGATCCCATCCCCAACTGTCAACAGGACAATGTCCATATTGAGACTTCTTAAGAATGAGCCCTCCTAGTGCAGTGAGACCACACTATTGGACCAAAAAGTTCATCAATGAATCTTTGGAATTGATTTATGACCAAATAAGGGAACTGTAAATGTAAAAGGGGTTCTATGGAATATAATAACCTAAAAGGGTGATCTGATCATCAATCCATCACTGGGCAGGTCATGGCTGGTAGTCAGGCCCCAGGCATAAAACTTCTTTACTCAACAACTTATCTTTGCCTTAAACAAGCCCTGACCACTGTTTCTCTGCATGTGAGAACACTTTTTGAAATGTCTCTTGACAGACCCCTTCTTCTGGAGAGCAAATGATTTATGCTGCAATTCAATCCCCAACTTGCTTTTTCTCACCTTCTCTAATCTTCCTTACTCCCCTCCTTAATTTCAAATGCATGAAAGAAACTATATAACTGTCATCTGCATTTGAGATCTTGCTTTAGAGCATGTGTCATCAGTTTGGCTCAAATAAACTCTTACCAAAAAAAAAAACTTAATACTGTACATATTTTAAATATTTGTAAGCTGAAAATCAGTAACTATATATCACAGAATTAAATCTAATGGATAGTCAGACAACCAGATGCATCAAAACTTAAAGAAAAATCTAAAGAGCAAACCTTTAAAATAGTATTAAGTGCATACCCATTAAATCCAGTGACAATTTTCAGTATTCTTTCCTTCATTTCATCAAAGGGAATATATTCGACATTAGGGTTGGGTGGACCTCTTGGTTCAGGAGCTGAAGTTCTGAAATCATCCATCACTTTCTCCAGTTTGAAAGTAAAATAGCCTTTAAATTGGGACCACTGAATCCTGCAAGAAAAAAATTTTTTAAAATTTAATACCATGTAGCTTTACAATCCTTGAACACAAAGCACAAATACAGAATTTACCGTCACTAATGCCACCAAAATGAAGATCTAATAAGTAGTAGAAGTTAAGAATGTCTTTATTCAGCAGTATGCACCATGCCTGATCAATCTGGATCATAATCTCCGAACTGGTTCCATCCATCTCCCAACTCTTGGCCCAAATGAAATCTAATCTCTGATAAAAAAAATTTTTAAATGAACTACCTCTGGCTGAAAGCCAATTATGTGCTACACCCTATTCTTAGCATTTATAACACTATTTTGTTTACATTCTCTGCCACATAGCCAATCTAACCAGGAAGGTTTAACTGTCCCATTTAAAATACATTATTAGATACTAGGGGC